CCTTCTGCCTGTGTCTCTGCCTTTCTGTGTATCTCATGAAAAAATAAAATCTTAAAAAAAAAAAAAAGAACTAGGAGAAAATTGAGGCAGTTGGGTGGCTCAGTCAGTTAAGTGTCTGCCTTTGGCTCAGGTCATGATCCCATCCCAGGGTCCTGGGATTGAGGTCGGCATTGGGCTCCCTGCTCCGTGGGGCATCTGTTTCTCTCCCTCTGCCCGACCCTGGCTAGTGTTCTCTCTCATTTGCTCTCTCTCTCCATAAATAAAATCTTAAAAAAAAAAGAAAAGAAAAGAGGAATTAGGAGAAAATCTAAATACTCTATAAATATAATATAAATTGAAGATATAATTCAACTTTTTTCTATAAAGAAAAAAACTAACCCAATATGTATTTTTTGGCTAGTTTCACCATTAGACAAACCTCCAAGTTATAATTGTTACAGGCAAGATCAACCCGTGGATGCTAAAAATCAGTGGGTAAAACTTCAAGAAGAAAGAGAATATTAGTATCTCACCCATGATATTTATCAATTAAAAAAGGAAAAATTACAAATTTACAATAGAAACCCTGGCAGACCCCACTCTGAACAAGAGGTCGACTGAAAGACATTCTGTGGTCATGGACTGGATGACTTAATACTGTTAAGATGGCAATAACTCCCCAAATTGATCTACAGATTCAGTGTAATCCCTAACAAAATTGCAACTGACTTCTTTGTAGAAATTGACAAGCTAATCGTAAAATTCATGTGGAAATTCAAGGAACCCAGAATAGCTAAAACATTCTTAAAAAAATATAAGAATAAAGCTGAAGAACATACTACTCCCAATTTCAAAACTTACTACAAAACTACAGAAATCAAGCCTGTACGGTGCTGGAATAAGGGTAGATATATCCATTGAATAACCACATGTGAGAGAATGATTTTGGACCCCAACCTCATATCATACAAAAAAGTTAACTCAAAATGCAACCCCGAATAGCCAGGGGAATATTAAAAAAGAAAACCAGAGCTGGGGGCATCACAATGCTAAATTTTAGGTTCACAAAGCTGTGATCATCAAGACAGTGTGGTACTGGCACAAAAGCAGACACATAGATCAATGGAACAGAATAGAGAATCCAGAAATGGACCCTCAACTCTATGGTCAACTAATATTTGACAAAGCAGGAAAGACTATCCACTGGAAAAAGGACAGTCTCTTCAATAAGTGGTGCTGGGAAAATTGGACATCCACATGCAGAAGAATGAAACTAGACCATTCTCTTACACCATACACAAAGATAAACTCAAAATGGATGAAAGACCTAAATGTGAGACAAGAATCCATCAAAATCCTGGAAGAGAACACAGGCAACACACTTTTTGAACTTGGTCACAGCAACTTCTTGCAATATACATCTATGAAGGTAAGGGAAACAAAAGCAAAAATGAACTATTGGGACTTAAGATAAAAAGTTTCTGCACAGCAAAAGAAAGTCAACAAGGGCAGCCCTGGTGGCACAGCGGTTTAGCGCCACCTGCAGCCCGGAGTGTGATCCTGGAGACCTGGGTTTGAGTCCCACGTCGGGCTCCCTGCATGGAGCCTGCGTCTCCCTCTGCCTGTGTCTATGCATCTCTCTCTGTGTGTGTCTCTCATGAATAAATAAATAAAATCTTTACAAAAAAGAAAAAGAAAAAGAAAAAAAGAATCAACAAACTAAAAGACAACCTACAGAATGGGAGAAGATACCTGAAAATGACATATCAGATAAAGGGCTAGTATCCAAGATCTATAAAGAACTTATTAAACTCAATAGCAAAGAAACAAACAATCCAATCATGAAATGGGCAAAAGACATAAACAGAATTTTCACCAAAGAAGTCAAAGACATAGCCAACAAGCACATGAGAAAATGCTCTGCATCACTTGCCATCAGGGAAATACAAATCAAAACCACAATAAGATACCACCTGACACCAGTGAGAATGGTGAAAAGTAACAAGACAGGAAACAACAAATGTTGGAGAGGATATGGAGAAAGGGGAGCCTTCTTGCACTATTGGTGGGAATGTGAACTGGTGCAGCCACTCAGGAAAACTGTGTGGAGGTTCCTCAAAGAGTTAAAAATAGAGCTGCCCTATGACCCAGGAATTGCACTGCTGGGGATTTACCCCCAAAACACTGATGCAGTGAATCACCGGGACAGCTGCACCCCGATGTTTATAGCAGCCATGTCCACAATAGCCAAACTGTGGAAGGAGCCTTGGAGTCCATCGAAAGATGAATGGATAAAGAAGATGTGGTTTATGTATACAATGGAGTATTACTCAGCCATTAGAAACAATGAATACCCACCATTTGGTTAACATGGATGGAACTGGAGGGTACTATGCTTAGCAAAGTAAGTCAATCGGAGAAGGACAATCATTATATGGTCTCATTCATTTGGGGAATATAAAAAGTACTGAAAGGGATTATAGGGGAAAGGAGTGAAAATGAGTGGGAAATATCAGTGAGGATGACAGAACATGAGAGAGTCCTAACTCTGGGAAATGAACAAGGGGTAGTGGAAGGGGAGGTGGGTGGGGGGATGGGGTGACTGGGTGACAGGCACTGAGGGGGGCACTTGACGGGATGAGCACTGGGTGTTTGTTATGCTATATGTTGGCAAATCAAACTCCAATAAAAAATAATTTAAAAAATGAATCAAAGATCTAGTGGCACTTGGGTGGTCAAGTGTCCAACTCTTGCTTTTGACTCAGGTCATAATCTCAGAGTCCTGAGATAGAGCACTACATCAGGCTCTGCCTTCAGCAGAGAGTCTGCTTCTCTCCCCCTCTCTCTGCCCTTCCCCCTGCTCATGCTCTCACTCTCTCTCTTAAAAAAAAAATCTAAAATATAAATGCATCAAAGATCCAAATGTAACAGCTGAAATTATAAAATATATTGAAGAAAATCTAGGAGTAAATCTTCATGACTTCAGGTTAGGCAAAGTCTTAGATACGTATAACAAGCAAACACAAGTAAGAAAAGAAAAAAATAAATTGGACTTCATCAAGATTACAAACTGTTGTACTTTAAAGGGCATCATCAAGAAAGTGAAAAAAGAACCCACAGAATGGCAGAACAACTTTACATGACGGCAAATCATGTATCTCATAAAGGACTACTGTCTAGAATATATAAAGAACTCTTACAACTCATTGATAAAAAGATAAATAACTCAACTTTTAAAACAGGCAAAGGATCTGAATAGACATTTTTTAAATTTATGAATAGATATTTCTCCAAAAAATATATATAAACCATAAGACACTTAACTATAGGAAACAAACTGAGAGTTGATGGAGGGGAGAGGGGTGGGAGGATACAGTAACTGGGTGATGGACACTGAGGAGGGCACATGATGTAATGAGCACTGGATGTTATATAAGACTGACGAATCACTGAACTCTATCTCTGAAATTAATAACCATATGTTAATTTACTTAAATTAATATGTGTTAATTACATTTATTTAAATTATACATTAATTAAATTTAAATAAAAAATTTAAAAATCACCTGTAAAAAAAAAGAATATGTAAAAACCATCAATAAGCCAGAAAGGATGCTCAAAATCATTAGCCATCAGGGAAATGCAAATCAAAGCCACGTGAAACCCCTCTTCCCACCCACTAGGGATGTTTATGATAAAAAGGACAGATAATAAGTGTTAACAAGGACTTGGACAAATTAGAACCCTCATATCCTGGTCATTGCAGTGCTTAGGAAAAGATTCCAGCTTTATTTATTAAAGATTTTACTTATTTATTCATGAGAGACACACAGAGAGAGGCAGAGATATAGGTAGAGTGAGAAGCAGGCTCCCTGCAAGGAGCTTGATGTGGGATTGATTACAGGACCCCGGGATCACAACCTGAGCCCAAGGCAGATGCTCAACCCACTGAGCCACTCAGGCTTCCCCCATTCCAGCTTTAAATTGTTAGATTCCACTGAGGTGGTAAAACCTGCTGCTAGGAGAGAAGGAGAAAAGCTGTCCTTTAGGGAAGAAGCCTTTCATACAGACATGAGAAGTGGCAACCAGCATTTTTGGCTGAGTGCAGGCCATACTGGGAAGCAAATGGAAAAGAGGCGGAGGCAGAAAGGACATGAACATGAGGTCCAAGAGAGCAGTGAGAAAGCTGCTTACAGGGAATAAAGACAGGTTCCTTTAGGGAAGGAGGAAGAGAGGAGAAAGTAAGGCCCAGTATGAGTTAGGGGGGCACAGGCTTAAGCTGGTTTAACAAGAGACCCACCTATACCATGGCTAACAGAAGACAGAATTTTGGTTCCCTCTTAACACTTCAGAGGTGAGCAGTCCAGGCAGGTGGGTGTTGCGCCGTGCAAGCTTTCAGACCCAGAAACCTACTTCTCTGACTCCTCCATTCCTTAGGCTATTATCTTGGACTTCACGCCTAGAATATCCACCTTCCCTTTGTAGGAGGTGCCCTATTCTGTAAGGAATGGAGGAAGTTCCATTAGGGAGCATTAAAAAAGACAGCCTCCAAAACCCAAGTCTTGAGATACTGAAAGAGGCTCGCTTACTCAAGTTTAAGGTTAGGAACACTCCATATCCAAGAAACAATAGATAGTGTTTGCTTCTCAAGAAGAGGCAATGACCTAAGATTGATGAAGTCTGACTCCAGTTTTGAAGAACTGAGACAAATATTTACTACCATCTTACATCTCAATTTTAAAGCAGTCTTCCATTACCTGGAAGAATCAAGAAAAGTGAAAAAATATTTAATTCATTTATATTGCTTTGCTATACTGCTACTAATTACTATCTATCAGATTTCCTTACACTTTAGGAAAAATATAACTTGAAAATATAATGAAGCAGATTCATTGATAATCGATGCCCTACCAATAGAGAATTCTAATTTCTTTCTGCATCAAAGCACTGGTCCAAACATAGCCATTTCTATTTAAAGAATTGTTTCCAACTAACATACTTACTTCTACTTTTTCACCCACATGCATTTTTTGAAAAGAATCCTCTGAAAAATTTCCAGCAGTTGGATTTGGTGGGAAATTGTGTGAGCAGTGACGGATGGCTTGCCTTCATTAATATATTTCAGAATCTCAAGCAATTATTATTATTTTTTTTTCACTTCAGTACTACAAGATTTTTGCCTGATGCAGCATTAGTCAGGAAACTTAGCCATGTGTGGTTGAAGTTAACTTTTTGCAAAAAGGTAGGCTTGTTGGGTAGCAGTTTGATGACGACGATATTAGTGTTATTAAGGTGTTTTTAAATGGTAACTTAAATAAAGGCCATCCTGAGCCCGTGAATGCTCTGGGGACCCCATTACTTTCAACCTAGTTACCTAAGAATCTTTGCTTATCCAGTGCAAGAGTCTGAAAGTATGTGGCAATCCATTATATAACCTAAAAATTATCCTTCTCAACAGTGTCTGCCTAATTTGCCCTTTCCAAATTTTCTCTTCCCTTCCTGATATCAGGATGACATGTGACATCATGACCTTTGTAACTGGCCAATTCCATGGAAATTTACTTTCTTAGTTTCATCATTAAAAAAAAAAAAAAAGGAGAAGGATGTCAGGAAAATGAGACCAAAGAAGAGGAGGAAGCAGGAGGGAGTTTCATTTGATGACATGTGCAGTATTTCTGCCTCATCACAACAAGTATGATTACCAGGTACTTGACAGGACTTTTTATTTATCCTTGTGTTCCCCTTGGTTTCAAGAATAGGTCACAAAAATTGATATATTGTACGCACATTTACTTAGTGCCTGGCATGTACCAAGTATTTCCTGAATTAAATTAAATGACCAATAAATAGCTATTGAATAAACAAGCCAAAATTATTTAAGATCAGAAAACTCCATGTATGTTCTTTATTCAAACAGTGTGATTTAAACAATCTGGAATGTAAAAAGCATTTCCTTATATAAGAAGCAGATTAGACTCCCAAAAAGATCGGCATACTATAGTCAAGCAAAAAATTGGCAGTTTACGAGCAGCTAAATCAGAGGCTTGAAATTCAGGACCTCTCCATTTGCTGATACATGTATGTAATTCCAACCGTATCTTCAGAGATTAAGGAAGAAAGAAAAATGTAACCAATTCTTTTGTACCCTAGGAAGATAAGGGCACCCTGTCCTAAACTTTTCTCCAACACCCCACAAAATAATCCTTCCCCACAAAGAAAGAAGACTAAGAAAAATCTGCTTAATTTTAACAGATTTAAGTCAAGGCAAGTCTGAAATAAACAAAAACTTAAATGGTGTTAGCCTGCAGTTCACCTTCTATTCTCCTGGCACCTCAAATTAATGGCTTGGGTGTTGGTGTAGGTAACACTTGGCCTGTATGCTGAGGTAGTCACTGAAAGGACATTCCGTGCACAATGTTGTTTAGCAAATGGGCATAATCTGTAGATTTAGCCATAAAATTACAGAGCTGATTATTTACAGATCACTAGTTCATTCCCCACCCTAACTTTACAGATGATAAAGCTCAGAGGAGTTAAGTGACTTGCCCATGGTAACAAAACTACTTACATAGCGGCAGCATCAGGCTCAGAATCCAAAATTCTTGACTTCTTAGTCCAGTGTTTTTTCCATTACAGTATGTTAGAGTACGGTGTTTTCTCAGAAAGGGTTAATCGCACTCCATGAAAACTTGCTCCTAATCACAAGCCATGGGCCAAATATTCAATTCACACTTTCTTCTTTGTTTAGCTTCAAGTGACTCTGTGGCAAGATTTACTTGTAAGACTACTGCCCTATAAGCATAAGCCTATGTTGGTCAAGTTTCTTGTTTTCATATCCAGATGCTGGCCAGAGCCCCCGGCAAATAAAACTTCCTTATATAATAATGCATGGACCAACGTCACTCACAGCAGTTGGCATCAGTGAATTTCAGCAAGTAGAGCCAATTCTTTTCAAACCCACAGGAAATTTCTTAAATAGTGTAGGCGAGTATCAAAGCACCTTTGGTGGGACAACTACACAGGTGTTGCCTCTGAATAGGTGTTGAGGAAATAGGCATTTAACCTCATGCAGAATTGTTTTCAGTACCTGCACACTTTAAAAATCCCATGAGAATGGAAAAGACATGCAAAGGGTGGCAGCACAGACTTGGTACATGGCAGTTCTTCACATTTCATACATGACCCACTTGGATGAGGTCAATGGAGGAGAAATCACCCTGTAATAGTAGACCAATAATAGGTATACTAACATTGGAGAACATAAGACAAAGGACAAGGAACTGGTTTCCTTATTACATTTTACGAAGTTTCATTTTCCCCAGCAGTCAAAGTAGTATGTGCTCTCTTTCTTCAACAGGTCAAATGCCTGAACAGGGTTGCAGATGTTAAAGACAATGACCAACTCCTCACCATGCAAAAGTTGGGACATGGTCACTTATTACAGGATGACTAGAATTCTGCTTGACAGAGGTGGCTTCTTGGATGTTTGTGATTCCACTATGAAATTGGACTTAGAAGTTTTGCTCATATTTAAAAAAGGATGAGTTTACTGAAGAAACTTACAAATTCTTCAAAAACAAAAATCTTTTCTACATAGCCAGCTGATGGCTGGAAAAGTCACAAATCTCCAGGAGTACTAGGTTCCAGAAAAGCTGAATGCACTCTCAAAATTCCTTTTTTAAGATTCTAATTATAAAACTCATAATAAAAACAAAACAAAACAAATTCAGGTAATTTTTGTAATTTGCTACTTGTGATACTTTTTATAAGTAATACTGGCCATGTTGGCAAGTCCTTAACATTTGCATTTGGAAGATAATCAAAAAATAAAATAATCCATATGATTCTCACACTTCATCACAGTTAACAATTTATGATTTGGAGAAAGCAAAACAAAATAAATTAGAAACTGCCTGTCATACATATAACAATACTGTATTTTATAATCTAGGGTCTATTATGTTTTGGTAAAATTATATAATGTAAACTCAATTTGTTTATGCAACTTTGAAAAGATACAATTCCTATACTATGCATGGAATTCCATATATTTTATCATATATTTGATATATTTTATTTGTTAATAAATTGAGATATTAAAAAGTCAACCAATGAAAAGGTCACAAAAAAAGATAAATTTCATCATTATGTCAATATTTGGGTTTTTGATGTTTTCTGCTTATTATGTCAGTATTTGATTAAATGTAAGACAGAAAACTGGGATTCCTTCAGTTCACATTGATTTGGTATTCATTTAACCAAAATAACACTTTGAGAACCACGGACTATTTATAAATGTACTGAAATATTTTAATGAGAGAAACTATAAAAAAATGGATAATTTAAATTTTCAAATTATGCTAGATAGTAGAATATGTCCTAAAATTTCTGATAAAAAATTCTGCTTTTCTTTTGCAAGGCATAAATCAGGAGGACCTCAAAGAAAAATGTAGCAATTAAGTTTGGAAAAGCTATAAAAGAGACTTTTACTTTTGGAATGGACATTTTTTTCCTTTCCTAAAATGTATATCATTATTCAAGAAGCATGTTTATAAATTTCACTGAAGAAAATATTATATTTTAATTATGTGACGGATATGCTCCATCAAGTGGTTCTCTTATTGTAAAGATAATGTCTATCAAACTGCAGTCAACTACAAAACCAAAAATAGCAAAATTCAAATTTAGAGAAACACGCTTTCTATAGGAAGCCTATTTAACCCTACAACATTTAGAAGGTTCTCACAGCCCCAAATACATTTTACAAAAATATAGTTTCATCGGTTTCATGTAATGTGAACAAACCTTACTACTCTCTAACATTTAGAGTAAATGATTGAACAGTCAATGCACAGTTGGATTACTAAATAAATTGGAAGTAAAGGAGTCAATATTCCTCATAAAAATAAATTAAAGTACAGTACATCATGGTCTTGGTTGTCCAATTCTATTGTTAGTTCCATATCTACTTGGCATATTTGTAAAACCAGTCCTGAGTCCTTGGCTTGCTCCAATTCCTGGAACTCCAAGTCCTTGATTAAGTATGCTACTATAAGGTGTGTGTCCATGATTAAAACCCAAACCATAAGGTCTTGTTTGGGTGTTTAGCAGAATAACTGGGTTCACGTTTTTTCCAGGGGTGTTAAAGGAAAATTCTGGAGGTGGACTACTAGGTTTATTTGGAGTTGATGTGATAGGGTTTGAATCATCAGTACTCTTTAAAGGAGGCATTGGAATTATGTGATGATCTGAAAAGTTTAGGACGTTGGCTGCAACAGGCCCAGACAGTAAGGCAGGTCTAATCCAATCATCCTTGAAAATTTGTACAGTCAAAGTAGACACCAGAGTGTACAGCCTATTGGTCACATGAGCAAGAACCATTTGTTCATTTGCGTCTCGTCGAATTCTTACATGCACTGATCCAGCCTAAAAAAAAAGGGCAAAATCATAGGAAAGAGATGCTTAAAATTATACCACTGAAAATTCCATTAGAAATAAACATTTGGTTATAACTGTACTTGGTACCTTCTTTACAACAAGAGAGATAATGTTTTGATATTTTCCTTAAAGACTACTCAGCAGGGATTGTCAACATGAAGAGTTAATGAAGTTCTTTGTGACTCTTTAAATAAAACGTGACTTTTTAAAATATAAAAAAAGAGAAATATATGTAGGAGGAAGACAGGCATGTTATAACCTAATGCAGAATATACAGTATGGAGAAAATGCAATGGAAGTACAGAAAAGGTAGCTACTTATTCAAACTGAGAAACTTCAACAGATGGGATTTGATCTAGGGTTGATGGTTAAATGCAATTTCAAAAGGTGGAGACAGGCATTCTAAGGTGAAGGAATAGCAATTAAAATGCATGGCATGTTTGGACAAGGATAAGCAATATTACTAATATATAAAAAAGTACAAATATTTCAGGTGGTAGAAAAAGAATGAAAGAGAACAAAAAAGGAAAGAGGAAACAAGGAAAGAAAGAATGTAGAAAGAAAGAAAGATAAGCAGGTAGTAAGGTTAAAAGAAAAGCTAACAGAGAACTCTAAAAATCATGATAAGGAGTTTTAACACCAGCAATCCATCAGAAGTAAAATAATGAAAGTTTAGAAAAATTATAGGTATGAATCACTGGTAATTAGGTAAGAAATGACTGCCACAGTCTAGGTCAGAAATGAAGAGAGCGGAGACAGAACAAAGACAGTGGGATCAGAGAGGGAAAGATGAATTCATGTTATTTCATGGGTTAGATGAGCGGGGAATCTGATACCCAACTGGATGTAGGAGATGAGGGAGATGGACCAACTAACAATCAAAGATGATCTGAAGGTTTCAAGCCTGGGTTACTAGGAGGAGAGAGAACCCC